GCCCTTCACCGTGCAGGGACACAGCGAAGAGATGCCATCTGTGAACCTGAAGTGGGGATTCGCCAAACACCCAATTTGCTGGCACCTTGATCTTGGGTTTGCCAGCCTCAAGAACCATGAGAAACCAATGTCCAATGTTTATAAGTCACTCAGTTTACAGCATTTTCATCACAGCAGCCTTACTGGGCTAACACTTGCTTTTTTCCCCTCATAGCACTCAAATCTAAAATTATAAAATTTATTTTGAACTTGTTTATAACCTGTCTCCCCACACTGGAATGAGAGCTTAATAATGTTGGACCTCAGCTCTTTATTTCACCATAGTATCTCCAGTACCCAGAACATTTCCTAACAATTTGTAGCTATTCAGTAAGTATCTACAAGGAATGAATTGCCCTGAGAAATGCAATCAAAAGAGACTTTTCTTTGAGAGGCGTGGCCACGCTGGGAAGGCAATTCCAGTGAACACTAGAGGAGGGTTCTAATTTTCCCTGGCTTTAGGGGTGGAAAATCTGAGGCTCTCGACAGGCCGCTAATCCCGCGCAAGGGACAAACAGGGGTACAGAAGACCAGCTGAGGAGCAGATGAGAGGCTTGTCCACACCACACACAACACAGACACACGTGCACACACACGCATACACACAGACATGCTGTTTTAGCCCTGTGTAAAAGGGAAAGCTGGATTTAGGGCAAAGACTAAAAGTTTAAACATTCTTTGGTACAGCAAGCCAAAATCTCAGGAGGATAAATGTACGAATAGAATGCTGAAAAGCATCTGGAATAATAAATCTCACATTATTCTGTTATATACATTACAGGTCACATGAGGAAACTGAAACTCCACAGCCCTGCCCAAATATAGGGAACCAGTCAGCGATGTTCAAAATATTTAGGACTGAGGGCTTGGACACCAGAAGAAAGACTGCCTTGGTTCAGCTGTTCCATTTCACCGTTTTTAACAAGTACCTTTTTCTTTCTTTTTTTTTAGAGACAGAGTCTCACATTATCGCCCTTAGTAGGTAGAGTGCCTTGATGTCACAGCTCACAGCAACCTCCAGCTCCTGGGCTTAAGTGATTCTCTTGCCTCAGCCTCCCATGTAGCTGGGACTACAGGCACCCGCCACAATGCCTGGCTATTTTTTTTGTTGTTGCAGTTCGGCCGGGGCTGGGTTTGAACCCGCCACCCACAGTATATAGGGCCGGTGCCCTACTCACTGAGCCACAGGCGCCGCCCTTAACAGGAACATTTTTAGGGCCAGTATTGTATCATTCCTGTTAGGTTATCATTACTGCAGTTGACTTCACATTTACTTTGGCTAATATCCTTCTCTGAAAGTCTTTGACATTTTAGTTGCTTAAGGTTTGTCTTTTTGGTCACACTCCATTAATAATACCTTACATTTGAATATTCCTTTTCAGCTTACAAAGAATTCATATTATCATTTGCATCCTTGGACAGCTCTGAGGGATAGGCTGAGATTATAACTTTTATTTTATAGGTGAGGAAACTGAGGCCTAGTAGACGATAAGGGACTCACCCAAGATCGTAGGTATGGAGGATGGCAGAGTGCAAACTCCAATACAAGTCTTTTGACTTCTACAGTGTTTTTTCTCCTATGACCTTGGACTCACCCAAGGTCATAGGTGTAGAGGATGGCAGAGCCCAAACTCCAATACAAGTCTTTTGACTTCTACAGTATTTTACACAACACCCATCAAATGACACCCATCGCCTTCGTGACACCCATCACTAAGCCAGACTAAAAGGCCAGGATCCAAAGCCTACACACCTTAGATGTGCTTATGTTAATGCACACACACAATTCTATTTTGTAAAACAAACAGAAATTAAAGACAACACCAAGCAGAACTGACATTATTGTGTTATATATTCTCAGAAAAAGAAGAGGCAAAACCCCCCACTAGTACCATTTCTTCTCAGCAGGGATTCCATGGCTCGTACTTCCCCTCCAGGTGGTTTTAAAACATTACACAAATCTGATGTTCTTTTGAGTGATTTGGGAGAACCACCACACTGCTATGACCACCAAAGATATCCTCAGGGACAAGCGAGAAATTAGTAGGAATAAGTCAAGCGGTAAATTCTAACCAGGGCCCCCTACATAAATATTCCAGTTTAAACGGAACAAAGTTTATTTAAATAAAGAGCCAAAGAAATGACAGATGGCAGGGAGAAGGAGGTGGTTTGGGAGAGAAAAAGGCCAAGCTATGAAAGGAAATAATTGTAGTAAAGCAGGATCCCGCTGGGTCTTTGGTATTCAACTGGTCTTTTCCCAGGTATTTCATCTCCTTCCAGTTTCCCAGTATTTCATGAGATTGTCCTGGTTTAAAGATTATTAAGTTTAATCCAACACATACACTGAATTGATGAAAGGATGAAGGGCCAAGCATGCTAGCTTATTATTAAAGACATCACCACAAGTCTACGGTTCAATAATTAAATTCATTCAACTCCAAAGGTAGAATTATGTCCCAGTTTGTACAGCACTAGGTATTACTACATATGTCTGGTGTAGGTTAACACTTTCAGCTTTCCAGCGACTGCTTGAGAGACCTTGAACGTTAGAGCTAGACAGAAATCAACAACCAAGTCTTATTTTTAACAAATGGAGAACTTGAAGGGATTTATTTAGAAACATATAACTAGGCAAGAAATCAGTATTGACTTTTGAGAGGAAAACAGACAAAATGAAGTGTGTATAGTATGCTATAATTTGTTTTAAAGAAATAAATAGTATATGTACATATTATAGCATATCTCAAAAATATGGGATAAAACTAGATATGTTGTTGCTTCAAAGAGAAGGGATTTTAGATACTAGAGAACAAAAATAGAAGAAAAATTTACTTTTGCTGGATGCCCTTTGGCACTCATTAATAACTTACACATCTGTCATGTCTACAAAAAGAATGTAAGTTTCTTGATGCTAGGACCCACCAACTATATTATAATCATCTTTGCAATCTCTGGATGGGCCTACCATTGTCTCCAGTATGAATTCAATAAATTATTCTTCTGTACTTAATATTGGATGTTCTTTTTCTACCTAAAATAAATTTAAATATATTTTTTAACAAATTTAAATATCAGAAGTATAAATCAACATTAATTTTGTGGCTCTTTCTGAATGGGTTATAGCAATTGTTCTTAGAAGGACAGAAAGTATTTCTCCCATTTTATACGTACACATATTATTAAGAATACTTTTGAAGTAAACAATTCTTCAGAGTACTCTGACCTATGAAATGGAGAAAATTTTGTAAATCATTTTGCTGACAAATTTTTCTTCATTTTTCCCCCCCAAGAGTAAAAAAAAAAAAATGATTAGTTGGTATATTTTAGCAAAATTGTAAAGCAGTGAGTTTTGTGGTGGGGATTCGTATTAAATATTTACTTAGGTGCTTTTTATTAACCAATCCTTCTGTAGCCTGTTTACGCTCTTGGCATTTAGTCTTGAATAGGGTATTGCAGAGTCAACGCACATTTTCTAAGAAGTGGAAAACCATGATCCAGAATTAAGTAAGGCAAAAGCAAAGAAAACAAACTCTCATGAGGATGGAAATGAAATTATTTATAGACAGAGGGTTTTCTTTTCAGAGTTTTCCAGAAAATAACTTACATTCAAAATTGTGAGAAATAGGCCACTTCTCCCCCACCACCACCCACTCTGTCTGTCTGTCTGTCTGTCTCTCTAGCATTATGATGACACTCCATTTAGGTTTCAAAATTTTGAGCCCAGTGTTAGTACCACAGAGTAGGGGTTGGGGAGGACAGAAGAGACTCAGGTGTGTACCACACTCGCCCTCTAGTGTGCACTTGCCAACACTGCATTTCCCTGGGCTGTTTGGTCTTCAGCCTAGGGCATTTCCAAACAGATAAACCCCATTTATATTTATTCTGTGAACCGCCAATTTGCAAAGAGTGTTACTAAAGGGCTTAGGAACAGTTTATTCTTGTCAACAGTTAAACATCTCTCCTTATCTTATTTATACAACTAATCTGCTTTGTAAACGCTTTTCTTTCATAGAAGTACAAAGATAGATTTTAATGGACTCGAGGTCCAATTAGCCAAATTCTAAACCAATGACTTCATAGTGTTTAAATAGAAGAAAGAAACATGGATAATTGTCGGTGATTTTCTAAATGACATTTTGATACTATCAGATAAAGCACTTTCTCTCCGATTCAGAAGACTTCTGCAGGTTTTTAGTGTTGCTTGCTTTTTACATTTATTAATATTTTACCTTTACATTTATTTGCAACTACATCAAAGCAGCCAAAAGGCATCTGGCAGAGGAAAAATCGCCTGTAAATGATTTAATCTGGGGCATTTACCGAGTTCACTAACATAACCTACCTTTCCACCAGACTTGCCTCCTTTCACCAGAATCCATTCGGTTAGGGTTAGGTTTCCTGCAAATACGGAACACCCCAAATAACAGTGGCTGAGATATAGAACTTGACTTCTCTCTCTTTGGTAAATAAATTCCAGATTTAAGGATTGGTTCCACACCTCTCTGTTTAGTCAGGGCTGAGGTCTCTCCTAGCGGGTTGCTCCACCATCCTCAGGGTACAGCTTTCACCTCGTGGTCCAAAGTGTCTGTTCCATTTCCAGACAACACGTCATTTCCAGCCAGCAGGGAGGAGGAAGGAGAGGACATACCAACTCCCTTCCAGGATTCTTCCCGAAAGGAGCATCTGTTACATCTGCATACACTTGCCTAGAACTTTGTCACAAGCCCTGCCTGGCTGAAGTGTCTTCATTCTGGGCCGCTCTGCCCTCAGTTGAAACCAGGAGTTCCAATACTATGGAAGAAGGGCAGAGTTGGTATTTGGAGATGACTCGCAGTCTCTCCCACGGTCTGTATTCCTACCAAGTGCCTTTGATTTGGCAGATTTTATGTTCCTGTTTTCTGTTTGTTAGATTTTGGGTTGGTCCTTTTCCATAGCAAGGTAGTACCTTCTTTTTCATGTGCCATCTGCTATGACGTTCTGATGATAAAGACTGTGTTTCCCATTTTTTCCCATCTGTCTCTAAATAAAGCCACTGAGCCCCCAGATTTTCACCATGTTGGTACATCCCCTCCTTCCACAGGTGATGGCTGTGCCGCCCGGCCCTCTGCAGCTGCTGGGAGTGCTGCTTACCATTTCCCTAAGCTCCGTCAGGCTCATTCAGGCTGGTGCCTACTATGGGATCAAGCCGCTGCCACCTCAAATTCCTCCTCAGATGCCGCCGCAAATTCCACAGTACCAGCCCCTGGGGCAGCAAGTACCTCACATGCCTTTGGGCAAAGATGGCCTTGCCATGGGCAAGGAGCTGCCCCACTTGCAGTATGGCAAGGAGTATCCACACCTACCCCAGTACATGAAGGAAATTCAACCTGCGCCAAGAATGGGCAAGGAAGCGGTCCCCAAGAAAGGCAAAGGTAATATCATATTCCCATGCCGTACAAAACAGCAACTTTCCAAACTCCTCAGTTATGGGATATGGGGGAGAAGATGCATTTTAGAAACTTTTATTTTGTTTCTGACATTTATTAAACGCCTACTGAGTTCTCAGCCCCATTCTTGGAAAGTTCAAGTGTTATAAAAAGAGAGATAACATTTCCATTTTGTTTTGCTTTAGGATCCAAAGAAGCATCAGGTGAAACAAAACATACTTAATCACAGTTTATCCCCTTATTATTTATTTATTCAAATATCCAGCAACTATCTAATGAGTGCTTATTTTATGTCAGGCTCTGGACCAGATGCTGGGAAGATAAAGCAGTGAAAAAATAATAATAAAGAGGTACAAGTCAGTGTTTTGAACTAAGATAACTATGTTTTAAGGACCTGCTATGTTACAAGTCACATGAAAACAGTTTGCAAACTTAGATAGCGTATAAATGCAAGTGTTTTTAATACTGCTCTAATTAAGTTTCACATGTCAATCAATAGATCAGTAGAAGAAAACTAAGAAAACAGACTGCATCTAGGTGTGATACCCGAAAATCTCTCCCAGTACCTTCTGGGCGTATTTTTAGTTATTCAGCACCTACAAATGCCCCTCGCTGTGATAAACAGTGTATTCCAAATTCAGTAGGTTTATCTGGAATTCTCAGAAACCTTTGAGGAAGCAAATTCCCTTTGAGGAAGCAGACTCCATTCCCACTAGATTCGGTGCTAACGGGCCTAGATGCCTGGATGCGGGAAATGAGGGAGACCCAGTCATTTCACCTCTCTAAGCCTGTTTTTCTTCATCTATAAAATGAGATTGCTGAGAGTATCAATGACATATAAGTAAAGTGCTGAGTAAATGCCAAAGTACCATCGGAACTGTGAGTTGCTACAACCAACTGGTTGTAAAAAAATCCTCCGTAAAGACAGGATACATTCTAGGCATTGTGCTAGACACTAGGGATTTCTGAAAAATAAGATGTGCCCCTTCTGCAGACACTCTCTTTCTTGATAGAGTAACTACATGATTCACTGCTTAGAAATAACATACCTTAATAGTACTCTAATCCTATCTGTTGTCACACGAGAAGTATTCCCCAGTTTTCTCCTCTGTAGGAGTCAGTGTTCTGCTTAGGATATTATCTTGGCCATTTGTTTTCATTCCTTCCTTGAGTGGCCTTTCATAGTTCTTATACTTCTTCGGGTACTCATATTTTTTTAAAAATATGAATTCTCTCTTTTTATTTTGTTCCTTCACGTAGTTCATTGAAAAGTACAATGGTACAAAAGCTCAGTGATGTTAATGATGATTAAAATAAGATATTGGGACCATACATTTCATTTCTACATGTCACCCATTAGTCCCAGCAGTATGGAGATCCAGAGTTGTGTTTTTTGAGAAGTATAACATAATCACTATAACACCAAGTGCTTTGTATTTTGATAACAATTCAAGAAAGCATGACACTTTCCACACCTATTCTCTAACCTCCTAGAGCAATTGCTTTCTTGCTGTACAGATAGATAGAACAGCTTCTGATGACTTGAAGGACCAAGTCATGACCTCATGCCAAGACCAGAAAGATAAGCAGAATTTACTTTTAAATCAAGCTGTCTTCCTTATCCATGCTGCTTATCATGCATGCTAAGATAGCTTATTTCACCTCTCCTATTGAAAAACCAGATTTGCCTATGAGAAATCATTTGTTATATTAAAGAATACTTGAGACTTAGGAAATGCTACAGCACATTAAAGAAATTAAGCAAATCTATTGACAATAAAGGATAAATGTAGAAAGATGTTATTAAAACACTTAAAAAATAAAATACTTCTATTCTTTCCTAAAGTCCACATAATAATGACTTTCATTATCCACATCATATTTCAGCATAAGAGGTAGTATTATTTAGCTATAAATTATTACTAAAAAAATCAGCAAGGCACAGAAAAACTAATATAGTATGTTCTCACTAATATGTGAAATGTGAAACAATCTAACTCGTGAGAGCACAGAGTATAAAGGCAGTTACTAGAGGTTAGGGTAGGGAGAGGGAGAATGGGGAGATGATGGTCAAAGAATCAATTAGGCAGTTGAACCCGGCCCCGGCCAAACTACAACAAAAAATAGCTGGGTGTCATGGTGGGTGCCTGTAGTCCCAGCTACTCAGGAGAATGAGGCAAGAGAACTGCCTAAGCCCAAGAGCTGGGCGAACTAAATAATGGCGTCATTACTTCATTGATGTGAGGGATAAACGGTATTAACCAATCTGTCTCTCTCTCCCCCACCCCTCTCTTTTCCAGTAGAAATACCCTTAGCCAGTTTACGAGGAGAACAAGGTCCCCGTGGAGAGCCTGGCCCAAGAGGACCACCTGGGCCCCCTGGTTTGCCAGGGCATGGGATACCTGGAATCAAAGGCAAACCAGGGCCACAGGGATATCCAGGAGTTGGAAAGCCAGGTATGCCTGGAATGCCAGGGAAGCCAGGAGCCATGGGAATGCCAGGGGCAAAAGGCGAAATTGGACCCAAAGGAGAAGTCGGGCCTATGGGGATCCCAGGACCACAAGGACCTCCAGGGCCTCATGGACTCCCTGGCATTGGAAAGCCAGGTGGGCCAGGGTTACCAGGGCAACCAGGAGCAAAGGGTGAACGAGGACCCAAAGGACCACCAGGACCTCCAGGCCTTCAGGGTCCTAAAGGAGAGAAGGGCTTCGGGATGCCAGGCTTGCCAGGCCTGAAAGGTCCTCCAGGGATGCACGGCCCTCCTGGCCCTGTTGGACTGCCAGGAGTGGGCAAACCAGGAGTGACAGGCTTCCCTGGGCCTCAGGGCCCCCTGGGAAAGCCAGGGCCTCCAGGAGAACAGGGCCCACAAGGCCCTATTGGTGTACCAGGTGTTCAAGGACCTCCTGGGATGCCTGGAGTTGGAAAACCAGGCCAGGACGGAATCCCTGGCCAGCCAGGATTTCCAGGTGGCAAAGGAGAGCAAGGATTGCCAGGACTGCCAGGACCTCCAGGGGTCCCAGGGGTTGGGAAGCCAGGCTTCCCAGGACCCAAAGGTGACCGGGGCGTGGGGGGTCCTCCTGGAGCTCTTGGACCCAGAGGGGAAAAAGGACCAGTAGGTGCCCCTGGAATGGGAGGTCCCCCAGGAGAGCCGGGTCTGCCTGGAATCCCAGGTCCCATGGGCCCTCCAGGTGCTATTGGTTTTCCTGGACCCAAGGGAGAAGGTGGGATTGTAGGGCCACAGGGGCCACCAGGTCCCAAAGGTGAGCCAGGGCTTCAAGGCTTCCCAGGAAAGCCAGGTTTCCTTGGGGAAGTAGGACCTCCTGGCATGAGAGGTTTGCCAGGTCCTATCGGGCCCAAGGGGGAAGGTGGGCAGAAAGGTTTGCCAGGGCTCCCTGGTGTTCCAGGGCTTCTTGGACCTAAGGGAGAACCAGGAATCCCAGGGGATCAGGGTTTACAGGGCCCCCCAGGAATCCCAGGGATTGCAGGCCCGAGTGGTCCCATTGGACCACCTGGGATTCCAGGCCCCAAAGGGGAACCAGGCCTTCCAGGGCCCCCTGGGTTCCCTGGCGTAGGGAAGCCTGGAGTGGCGGGACTTCATGGCCCACCAGGAAAGCCTGGTGCCCTTGGTCCTCAAGGCCAGCCTGGCCTTCCAGGGCCTCCAGGTCCTCCAGGTCCCCCAGGCCCCCCAGCTGTGATGCCCCCTACACCACCACCCCATGGAGAGTATTTGCCGGACATGGGGCCGGGAATTGATGGCGTGAAACCCCCCCATGCCTACGGGGCTAAGAAAGGCAAGAACGGAGGGCCAGCCTACGAGATGCCTGCATTTACCGCTGAGCTCACCGCACCTTTCCCACCAGTGGGAGCCCCAGTGAAGTTTGACAAACTGCTCTATAACGGCAGACAGAACTACAACCCGCAGACGGGCATCTTCACCTGTGAGGTCCCCGGTGTCTACTACTTCGCATACCACGTTCACTGCAAGGGGGGCAATGTGTGGGTTGCTCTGTTCAAGAACAACGAGCCCATGATGTACACGTACGACGAGTATAAAAAGGGCTTCCTGGACCAGGCGTCGGGGAGTGCAGTGCTGCTGCTCAGGCCGGGAGACAGGGTGTTCCTCCAGATGCCCTCAGAACAGGCCGCGGGACTGTACGCCGGGCAGTACGTCCACTCCTCCTTTTCAGGGTATTTATTGTATCCCATGTAGAAGAAAGAAAAGAGAGATTTAATAGAAGAAAAGAAAATGATGCGCCAAAAATCCCAAATGGAAAACATACTTGCTTCAAAACACTTATATAGTTGGAAAGTTATATTTAAGTGAAAATTTGGACCATCGTGTACAAATAAAAACTAAGATGCATGTTTAATAGTCTCTGCACCGCAGCTTGTAATGGAAAAACGATGGGATAGATTTATGTATCAAGTACTGACACTTGTGTTGTACCCACTGGAATCATATTTGCTGTTGTATGTTATATGCTTCCACAATAACCTGCTTATTCAGATCAGTCAAAATATTTCAGTATGAAAGATCATAGCTAATGGAAGTCACTCATATTGTTTACTTTAAAATAATTATAAAGATGCCTTAAAGAAATGTCGATGATAACAATTACATACCATATTTACTTGCATCACTTCCTCTGTATTCATGCAGATACTTCGCCGTGGAACACGGTGGGAACGGGTCTGTAGCGTCACAGCCTCAGTGGGAGGGGCCATGGGAACCAAGGTAATACACTAGTGGCAGGGTGATTTCATTTGTGTCAGAGGCTGTGTCTTTTAGCAACTGGAGTCCTAGTCAGAGTTGTGTGTCTGATGTCTTTGAAAAACAGGTGAATGAATAGACTATACTATATTTTTTTCAGCATCTTCTCTGTACCTAGAACTGAGCGAGACACTTATGGAGCATTAAATAGCACTCCACAAGTGGCTAACAAACCAGCTGGGAGACATGAGCAGCAATTCACTCATTTATTCCTCAAGAGTTTCTATTTGATTTTTTTTCCCCCCTGGGGCTTATTTTTGTCTTCCCTCCGTGCAATTTTCACTATGTTCCAACTAATACACACACCTGGAAGTTACATGAAAAAGAAAACTCTTCCTCCAATAACTTTCCAGTTTTATGGAATATTTACTTTTAATAGAAGTTTATCAATTGTGTTGACATCTATTAAAAATTCCCCTCCCTGGCCTACACACAACCACACTGAGGGTTCAACCATGGAGATACCAGGATGTTTAGTAGCTGTAAATTGTGAAGATGCTTCCCTTGGTAGTATAGTATATATGCAAATTGATGTGTCATCTGAGGTTCCAAACACAATTTACAAAATCCAAGCCATCCTTTATTTGGAGGAAGGGATCAGGAAGTTTCAGAATTACATAGGAAAATTACTTTTTAATTCAAAAAAATCTTTGAAGTTTTAAATTTAAAAATAGGCTGCTTCCAGGTATAATTACTAAAAGTGTAGGAAAAGAACTGTTTCTTTAGAAGCAACCTATGTGAAAATTATCTAAAATGTCAAAGGGCAAACACAGCCCATGTTTTCAACGCCACAAGTGAAGGACCAACAAAGGAAAGTCAGAAATTTATTTTCCCAGACTTTCACTGAAGCACATACTAACTGCTTTAGGAATTCTACTAACCATTTCAAGCCTGCTATTAGCCTGCTGCTGACACAATTAGCCACTTGAAGCAATAATGTAGGGCTAGGGTGGCAAAATCTTGTATCTTTTTTTAAAATTACAAGACCGAAAGCTGAGGGGGTAGAAATAGATGAAAAGTACATAAATCAACATGTGTATAAAAATACATGGAAATGTCTTTGTCACATCTGAATCATTTTATCATCACAAAAAATTTTCTCCAGGCCTAATATCTCATTTCCCTATGTGGTATACAGGTATCATTTTTTTTCTCAGTTTTTAAGATGAGAAATTCATTCCCACAGTGTTTCTTACTCATTGATAATTATTTAAGACATTTTTCCCATCAGAAAGAAGTCCCACCCAACCTTTGTTTTCAAAGCAGACAGTATGTGTCCAAATATTCTCTGGGTTGGTCCTGAGCGCGCTGGGTTTTGGCTGATGCCTGAGGAGCAACATGCACCTGCTGGGCTCCTTCTGCTAAATAGCTGCATGAAAATGGCTTGAAAGAAAGTCCAATCAGGAGATTTGTAAAATTGTATTTATCTGTACATGTATGGGCTTTTAATTCCCACCAAGCAAAAGAGAAATTATCTCTTTAGTTTAAACCAAATTTCACTTTTCAAAATATTTTCCAACTTATTTATTGGTTGTTACTCGATTGCCTATATATATATGTGTGTGTGTGTATGTGTATTATCGGGCATAGGTTTCTAACTTTTGGATGGAAGAGGAGCAAAATCTATGCCAAATACTGTGTATTCTACAATGGTGCTAATCTCAGACCTAAGTGATACTCCATTTAATTTAAAAAAGAGTTTTAAATAAATATATATCCTGTTTCCCGTTTAAGTGTTGCATATTATGTTAACACATTAGTGTAAAAGCAGATGAAACAACCACAGGTTCTAAAGTCTAGGGATAGTGTTATAATCCCTATTTAATTCAAAATTAACTAAAACTTCTCCATGTGAAATGGACCAAACTGGCATTGTTGTTATTTAAATATAGAGTTTTAATGCAGTATGACATCCCGTAGGGTAAAAGACTGTCTATAGAAGGTGAATGTTCTGAAATATTTTACAGAATACAATGAATGGTGAACAGACTGGTAACTTGTTTGAGTTTCCATGATAAATTTGAGACTTGTCGATAGCAAATCATTTTTGTATTTAAATTTTTGTATTGATTTGAAAAAGAGTCATTAAATATCTTTAAAAGTTTGTTTCTCATCCTGTTCATATCACTCAGCTGACACAATCTCACAAATATTTTAAATTCCCCATTGTATTAATTAGCTACTGAAAAAGAAACCTAAAACAAGCATAACTTAAACAGCACAATTTATTCCTCTCTGACATAAGAGCTCCAAGTATAAAAAGTCTAAGGCTCATGTGTTAGGTCTAATCAGGGGCCCCAGGTTCCTTCCATCTTGTTGCTTTTCAACTCCAGGGTGTTGCTCTCTTCTCCATGGTCCACAATATTAACCATCAATCATAGTCAAATTCCAGCTAGTGAGCAGGTGACCAAAGCAGAAAGAGTAAGGCATACACTTTGTCCCGAAAGACTCAACCCAGAAGCTGTTTTGTTCACATCCCATTGCTCTGAATTTAGTCACATAACCACAAAGAGCTCCAGTGTGGGAAGTGTGGGAAACTAAATACTTATCCTGGGTAACTATACGCCAACCTAAAAATCAGGGGTTCTATTAATATGGGAGAAGGGAGAATAGATATCAGGGGACAATTAGCTGCTGTGTCTGCCACATCCATCATAAAAGCAAAAACCACCACAGACCTTTCTTGTCCCATGAGAAACCAATCTTCAAATGCTCCTTTCTATTTTACTTTGCCACACTACAGACAAATATTTTGAGGGGAGATAGTGGAGAGTGGAGCTATAAGCAGAAGCAGATCTTTTTAAGAAACTCTAAGAGTCTTAATAAATATCACTGGTAAGGAAAGATTTCTTTCGTGATAACTTACCAAGCCCAGAACAATCATAACTTATCACGTAGAACAGTGGTTCTCAACCTGTGGGTGGTGACACCTCTGTAACAATGAAATAACATCTGATAATATCCTGCATATCAGATATTTGCATTACAATTCATAACAGTAGCAAAATTACAGTTATGAGATAGCAACAAAAATTATTTTATGGTTGGGGGTCACCACAACATGAGGAACTGTATTAAAGGGTCACAGCAATAGGAGACATTAGGAAGGTTGAGAACCACTGATGTAGAATAGTACAAAGGGGTTATTCAATAAACAAGTATGTGCCACCAGCCTGTGGCTGGTGGTTAACTTATTTGTTTAAACCATCAGGCTGAAGCTCAGACCAGTTTCCATTCCCATATAGTCCAAAGACCATATCTTGGGCTGTTCTCAGCCAAAGACATTTCCACCACAGCCATGTTGTGGGGACATAGTGTTGAAGGGAAGGATGGATGGAGGAAATAGAGGTGAGGAGGAATAAATGGTTAGAATTCAGAATTCTGGGCAAGCAGGGCAAATTTATCATCACTACAAATGAATAAAAGAACTCAAAATACACATCTTACTTATAATGTGTATATAATATCCCTTTATGTTAAAATGAAACAGAAACAAAATAGCCCCTTCCTTGTGCCTAACATTACTAAGATGTGTCAAGCATACGAAAGCAACAGAAAATATAACCTTTTTCCTAAGGGGAGGAAAAAAATCATCCTAAGCTGGGAAGATACCAAGATGTTTGTTAAACAGGAAAGTGATTTCCAAGAACAAAGTGGTGTGACGCTGACTGGATACACATGTGCTGGAGAAATTTAGAAAGAAAAAGACTATTGTGTGCTGCCCATTTCCTGGGGATACCTTTACTGACTTGTCTGCCAGGTAAACTCCTCATCCTTTAGGACACAGAAGTGTTACCTCCCTTTTAAATCTCCCTACTCCCTGGAGTCAGTCACTTTCTCCTCCACGTCACCAACCTGCCTCGTACATTCTTCTGTCCCTTCACTTTTTCTGTGTTATAACTGAACCACTTGTGTGTCTTCCCTATCAGAGTTTAAGCGTCTCAAGAGAAGGCACCTCCCTTCTTTCTTCTTTGCATATATCGCCCATCATTGAGTACTGGTCCAATATCAGAGTTGTGGGAAGAATGAATCTCTCAAGGATATTGTTACATGGAGTCCTAAAGTGGATATGGGGTTAGATTTAATGGCCAGAAACTCCCTTCCAGCTCTGGCATTCCAAGATTACATAGAAGTTCACAGTGGGATTAAAATTAATTTCAGATTATTTTTTGAAGAATGAGATTTTTAAAGAAATGCCAAATTCAAATGGAGGGAGCATGAAGGTATCTCAAGAGAAAAAGCCTCTCCTCCTGTAAGGAAAATGGGTGTGTGTGTGTCCTGGGAGAGAATAGGGGGACAGGGAAGGGAAGGAAGCTGAGATGAGGGAAATGGCCTGACTATATTAGAGCATCTATCCAAGGACTGTTAAAAAAAAGAAACAAACCCTAATTTAATAACTAAAGCAGAGTCAAGTCATGCAGTGCTTTCCATACAGGGAAGAGGCATCTTTATTTTATCTAAATGCAATAAGAAGATCCCATAGGTCCTTAAATGGGAAAGTGGTATAAAAATAAGTATTTTAGAAAAATCATTGTGATGATTCTGTGAAGTTGACATTGGAGAAGGGAAGATGCAAGTAGTAAAACCAATTCAGAAATGAAATGCTGGGTGATGATGAAGAGCCCTAACCAGGCCTCTCAAGTGAGGAGAGAGAAGCAGATAGGTTCAAGAATCAGGGTTTATGGACTGTAAGACAATGGCACTATTTCAGGGCCTAGCAATTGGAATGAAGAATGGAAAAAATGAAGAGATAGCTTAAAGACTGAACTGAACTTGGGACAATATTAGACTGTCTACCTTTTAAGGGGAAAGGAAGCTTTACCCTGAAGCAGTTTCCTCCCACTCATGAAATCGGAAGCAGGAATGGTACCACCAATAGAAATGGGTAGTACACTAATAAAGCCCACTCCAGGTAGGGCACGAGGAAGATACCCAATTTATTATAAACTTATTACTTTGGTAGATTTGCCGTTACAAGATGATACATACTGGGTGCACTTACGTAACAGAAATTTCTCATAGTCCTGGAAGCTAGAAGTCCAAAATCAAGGTATTCACAGGGTTAGTTTCTTCCAAGGCCTCTCTCCTTGGCTCATAAATGGCGATCAGCTCCCTGTGTCTTCAGATGGTCCTTCCTCTGTCTGTGTCCCAATACCCTTTTGTAAGGACACTAGTCATATTGGATCAGGATCCACCCTTGTGACCTCATTTTAATGACCTCTTTAAAGGCCATTCAAGGTCTTGGGGATTAGGGCTTAAACATGTATTTTAGGGGACAGTCCATAACAGTGGTGATGCTTATGCTCCAGATGTCCATTTGATTAGAAGATAAGGGGTAGAGCTATGAGCCTGGAGAGAGAAAAAAGACTGACCTAAAATTAGTAGCAGTATTTGTGACAAAAACATTAAACTGTTTTACACTTTCCTCCTTTACTTATGGCAGAAAATTAGTTTAAAAATTTCACCAAACACAGAGCCAAGGTAAAGTCATCCCAATCCTTATGGAATAACAATCAATTCCAAGTACATATACAGAGCAAACATGGAGAGGAAAGCAATCAGTTTTACTGTATTTTGAAAGTTTTGCTTCTTAACAATCCTTATGAGAATTGAAATGTAAATGATCATGCTCACTCCCTATCCTATCCTGAGAGAGTTGCACAGAATTTTTGATGTTTTCTTTCATTTTCACAACTAATACTCATGTCAGGATAAATTTTATTCT